GGGGGGGGGGGGGTTAAACATAGGTAAAAATACTGAAACATTTGAGAATTATATGACTTTGAATAGCTGCCAATATTTCATTTTTCCCCCCACCCAGTTGCCATGAGCAATTCTCACCAGATACAGATCTCTATCCAAGGGTCATAGGAGCTATGTTAATTTGCCCCTGCTCAGGAACTGGCTTTATATATTTCCACACATGAAAAGTAATGATTCATTTTTTTTTTTTTACTGTCCTGATACTCTTGCTCTGTGTTTTGTAATAGGAAGAGCCAATTAGCTGCCAGCCTATTGCAGAATTACCAAATATTAGGTAAGAGGACAGGGGGAATGGTGGCTGCAGCTGTCAGACTAAGTGATTTTGTTGTCACCAGGTATCTTGAGGTTGTCTCTTTGGCACCGGTTAAAATCAAACTGAAATGCAGCCCTGCAATACTGGCTCCAGAGACCCTCACTGGAAACGTCCACATGGTGCAATATTTTGTGCAGTATCTCTCACCATTAGATCAGCATGCAACCTGCCTTGCAAGGCAGAGGGTCAAGTGGAGAAAGCTGAGATAAATGAAAAAAACAAAACAAAAACCAAGCAGAAATCCTGCTTGAAGTTTAGAGAAGGGCAGGAGCCTTCTTGCTGCTCCTTTGTAGATCAGATGCAAACACTGCTTTTTCCGTGGCAGGAAGGGTGTCCAACCCATACTCCGTGACTTGCCTTCCCCCACTTCTTATGACGTACGAGTCTCTGATAAAGCCTCTGTGCCTACTAACCTCCTTCTGTGTACCTGACTTCACAAGCAAGCTCTGCTTTTCCATGTTTCCCCTACAACAACCTGGAGGATGTAGCAATGGCAGAGTGGTCAGTGCACCTTGTTACAGCTCCAGAGGCACGTGCTGGCCCAGCTGCAAATGGGGACTTAATCGTTTGGGCTGCGTGGAGTCCAGGTTGGCCACATTATTCCGTCATGTGCACTTGGCTATGGAAACAGATATGCCTCAATCACAGTAGCTGGAGGGCCTGTTAGGCATGGGTGGTCCTTTGACTTGGAAAGAGGACGGCTCCAGCTGGGGAGTGGGGCAGCTGTTCTTTGTGCACGGTTGCCAACTCTCATCACTGTTGTCCTCTTCCTTACCCACCAAGCCTGGGGGAGGGTGTGAGGACCAGAAGGAGCCAACCTGGTGTGGAAACAGGGTTGATGGGTGCCAGTAGGACTTGGATGGAGACTGGAGAGCAGAACCAATCTCCTGCCATGCAGCTGGGGCTCTGTGCAGGCTTCAAGTCGAAATGGCAATCAGTTCCTCTTCCCCCACCACACAAGAGCCCTGACCATAGACTATAGCCTACTGCCCCAGTCTTCAAAACTGTCCTCATGGATCAGGCAGCCCACAAGCAGTTTACTGATAATGCAGCCTCTTTCACTCAGGGGAGTTATGCAGACTCCTGGACAACAACCCTGCATTTGTACAAGTCTTCCACAAAATGTCACCGTCCCAGGATCAGCACGGGGAAGATTTGCACCAGAACTAAAGGCGAAGGCAGTGTCAGTCGGCAGCAGAGATATTACCGATCCTTCCCACTGCACTTTGCAATGTGCTTGGCTTATTCTGCCATCATGCGGCTGGTAAAAGAATGCAAGATGAGATATATTTGCTGTTGAATGCAGTCATAGCTGAAGACACATTAAGCTGCTGTCTTATGACTTTTACCAACTGCTGTTTTCAAGTAATTTTCCCTCCTCATTCAAGTGGCAAAATGTCCATCTCCTCCTCCTCTGCCATTGCTTCATAGAGAGGATGGCAACATACTTCCGCTATCCATAGCTCAAATGGCAGAGGTTTCTGCTATGGTTTTGAAAGGTCAAACCTTGACTCATGTGGGTGCAAATAAAATGTCAGATGATGCAACTTCCTTTTTTTATTTTGCTTCCTTAAAACC